GGACACCGTGAAGGCCCTTGTGGGTGCTGATCGCCATGGACTTCCAGTGAATACGTGTTCGACAAGACTAGGATCGGGTTACGTGTCAACCGCAACTACGACGAGGAGATGTGCCAAGTTTTGCGCTTTACGACGCATTTCGTAGCAACACACGTGGAGAAGGAGTACGTAATGGCATGTTCGAAGGTCGACAAGTTCACTTTCGACTTAAAGTCAAATCCAGGCTTCGTGGAGGTGACGGGTAAACACAAGACGCATGCTGTGGATTTGAAAACGTGGAGCTGCACTTGCTCGTTTGCTTCTGCAATGCGTCTGCCTTGTCAACACTTCGGAAGTGGAGTAGCGCCCCAGGAAGCGTAATACCGCTGAGTTGCATCGATGAAAGGTGGGTTAACTCACAATTTATCCACGTATAAGCCGTGAGTTGTCCATGTAATATCCAATATTGATGTTGTACTAAGGGTCTGACATGTCATTCATTTAGATGGTTACATCCTGCTGAACAACCGATGACTCCGCGGCCTTTTGTGCTTAATGAGTTTAAACCAGGGGAGGCGAAACACAAGGTGCTTGACGCTAATGTTAAGTACAAGGAGGCAGTCAGCGCGTTCCAGGCTATATGCAGTGAGCTAGCCGATATCTCTGATGACGACGAGTACCGTGAGCATTTAGACTTCGTCGTGCAACAATGGAGGAACATTAGGCAGCGCAAACGTGTAAAGGTTGAAAAAACGAAGGTTCCAGTCACGAGAGAAGAAACAGAAACAGATGAAGTGACCTCTCCAGTGACAACCAGCCGAAATCGAACCGGAACCAAGACCGAAATGGAGCAGCTTGCGCTTGAGACCACTCCTGATGACAACGAAGAGAAAAATACTGATAGTGGATTGCGCATCCGTCTGAACCCCAAAGCTGCGAAGTCTGGTAGGCCCCGGTTGAACAGAAAGGAGAGAGAAGCAGACGACAAGAAGAAACGAGCGTTGTTTAACGAGTCAGAAGCCCATAGAAGAATTCTTGGAGAGGTGACATTAATACAACTTGCGCGCAGTCTTCAACTTGAGAAGCCTCCACTTCAAGACACTCTACGTCGTGTTCTGCCACTCCAAACCAAGTACAACAACGCGGGTAGCAAGAAACCCAAGTACACTAGAGAGAGTGTGCCTGTGCTAAATGAAAACGCGTTCTACCTACTTCCACCCAAACTGTTGGACAAGTGCGTTGCCGTGCTGCCTGTGAGCAACACCAATGAAACAGCCATCGATGCACTCACCCAGAGTCAAACTACACAAAAAGACGAAGAAACATCTACAATACCTGGACAAATCTTGGACAGCAACGGACAAAACCCGGAGATCGAGTGTGTCTACATCGCGGGTATCGGAACATTTTCACGCGAACAGATTGAGGCCATGGCATACTTAGCAAACGTGAAGCGTTCGTGTGATGATGTAATGGCGTTTATTAAATGGTTAACACAGGATGCAGCCAGCGCCATACCAGCAGCACAACAATCGACACTTCAGAGCATGGCAGAGGCCATTGCTCGCGCCTATCCCCAAGATACCATCCCAATTGACGGCAACGATTACCACTACGCGATGCTGTACCATCTCAAGCCGCCCCAATGGGCTAATGATGCGCTGATTTTGGCTTTTTGCGCGAGATTGTACAGGACGGGCACCAGCGTTCGCATCGTCGGTGTCGAGGCAGCCTCGGCGTCAAAGAAGAAGAAATCTATGAGTGAAAAAATGAAGACAAAGGTTCAGGAACTACTCACTGAAGCGGATGTACTGCTCATTCCTGTAAATTTTGGGAACATGCATTGGTGTGCAATGATCGTGGATGGCAGGCAGAACAACGTCCTGTACTACGACTCAATGAACCTGAAGACGTACAAGGACGTACTGGACCGCATGTCGTGGGATCTGGCTACTACGCTCAGCGACGACTTCAAAGTTGTGTCCGTCAATGGACCGATCCAGACAGACGGATACAACTGCGGATTCTACGTAATGTTGAGGTTTTGGCGATATGTAGACAAGAGTGTGTCGCTGGACGTAACTCCGATTGGTCTAACGCTGTTACGCTTCCGCATCCTTCAATTCGTGCTTCACGGTAGCAAGCCATAATGCAACTAATACAATCTCATTTCTATTGAAACTGGAATCGACCCGCCTAATGTTCATGCGTATGGTTGACCTCCTGACTTCTGTATACCGGTATGTACGAGAGATGTCAGAGGAATTTCGTTTGCGAAGGTCTAACAACTTCCATTCACTATGGATTTTAAAAACAGTGGTAAGTAATTTATTTCGACACATGGACATTACATGGAGTATTACATGGAAAATAAACTGTGTCGACGCATGGACTGTAGCATCGGCCTTTTAAAAAATGTACATGAAGTTCATGAACAAGCACTATTAATAGTCCAATTATACCGGTACAGTGGTAGGAGTCCTTAGTAGGACGGACCGGGGTTCTACTGTACTCACTGACAGTGAGGCAAATGCATGCAGACGGCCGCCGCCTAGATTGCTGTTTCACACTGGCACCTTTTCAGTCTGAAATTCAGATGATCAGTTGCAGGGACTGTCGTGCTATGACTTAGTATCGAATCTCTAAACGCCGCATGAGACTTTGACTTCATTGCTAAGTCTCCGCTCACTCACAAAGTTTCGCTGTCGAACGCTAGTGGCACATGCCGCCCAGTCCGGTTTCCAGCTCCAACGTCGCGCACAGCTACGCCATTGGCGAGCTGGCAGACACGATGCACTTTCCACTACCTGCAGGTTACTTTGGCAACGTCCAAATCTCTTCATTCAAGCGCCAGGAATACAGTGACATTGTACGACGACATGTGAACGCTCTACTAGCGGATGAATATCGCTACACCGAGCGAAAGGCACAGCAACAACCACTGGTGCAGACGACAGAATGGAAGTTTTTCCGTCGTATGGGGGACTTGAAAGTTTACCAGCGACGTTTTCGTCGATCGAGGCAGGAGGTGGCGGGCGAGGAAGAGTTTCCGGAAGCCGCGATAGCAGTGGAACGTGGAAATCCCAGTATGTTAACGATCGGGTCTGTGAGTGGCACTATTGAGGACATGCTTTACGGAATTAGCGCTACGACACAAGACGAAATGATGACGGGGCTGTCAATGACCCACCCGCCACTAGACGCTGTGCTGTTAAATGTCTTGGAGAGGTCTACAGTTGAGGACCCTTTGCGCTCTGCTGACATTGTTTGGGTTCTAACGAAGGTACCGATTATCAAGCCCAGAGACGTTTGCTTTCTCAAAGCTATGGGGATGGGTGTGGATGGAAACGGGAAGCCGTACGGCTATTTGGTGTTGCACTCGGTAGATTTGCCCGAATGTCCGCCATTTGATTATCGCAAAACGAAAGTTCTTCGAGCCAAGTTGTTCTTCTCGTTTCTGTTTCGAGAAACCACTCCTGGCCACGTGGACGTGGTGGGACGTGGTGTTTTCGACTTGGCAGGAGGAGAGATGCTCAAATTCGTGCTGCCACATGCTGCAACTGCACTTTTCACTGCAATTTTGAAAAGCGCGAGTTGCGGTGAAGGGAAGAAACTCACGCTGTTGGCATTTAGCCACTACGATGAACGCAGACACTTCACGGAGCTGACGAAGAAGAGTGTATGCTCCATGTGTATATCGAGGAGAGGGATGCTACGTTTGCGCATGTGTGACGTGTGTGGCGTCCCCATCTGCAAGAAATGCAAGATCAAAGGCAAACTTATTTTCACTGGAACGAAGCATCCGAGTCGTGAAGCCGTGTGTTGCGCGACCTGCTCCCAGCAGGCAAAAGGCATCACCGGCGTACGCATTGGCGAACCCGAGTTCATTGTCGTGGCAGAGTATTACAGTAAGGGTCGCCCTACGTCATCCTCCGCGTCTTCTGGACTCTTGGCGCCGACGGCAACCCTGTCGGCACTTTCATTGGAATCTTCTGTTCGACAGGCCCAGCAAAGTACAGTAGAACGAGACCACGACACTGGAACGCCCGATGACGCCGGTAAAGCCGCCTCATCGGTGGCAGTCACAAACTCTACGATGGGGGACACTTGTGCCAGTTTCGACTTTGACGTGAGTTTTTCAAGTGACCGGAACTCGAGTGAGTGTCTGTTCAAAGCTGGAGAAAACTTCGACGAAGAACCTGACACAGGTCCCGCGATTTCAGCTGAATTGTTGGCTGAGCTTGACGACGTGACAGAGGAGACAGCCCCGAAGGCTTGGAGCGACCACTATGGAGTCGACGTAGACGGTATCGCGAAACCTGTCGCCCATTACAGAACGGCTTCGAAACGGAGACCCAACAACATGTTCGAGTGGATGATGGAGCTGCAGTCGTCCGCCGAGGAAGCGTACATCACTGCGAAAGCCAATGAAGAACTCATGAAGAAGTCCATGCGGTAGTGACGTAGTGGATAGTGTTGCTGGAATGTATCTGATACCATGAAGTGCAGTTGCTCCGAAATTCGGAGAAATGTGATAATCACGGCTAATACATGTACATGTACATGTATTAATACATGTAACATGAACAAACCAGGCACACGTATTTAAGTCATGCTTGCTATCCTCTGTATTAGCGTGACTCGGTTGAGCCTTTTTCATATGTCGATCTGACTCCAACACTTGCGTATCCAGGTCCCAGTCCTGCATGGCACGACGTCCCGTTTGCCTTGTCGATCGCCAAGTGTACCGCGGACAGAGTGCCACATTATCTTGCGTCATCTCACTGGTCCCTTCCCGAAGAGCTGGTGGCGACACTACCGCCGAGTCCAACAAAGGTCCCCACTCCCCAACTCGACGAGATGAGTCCCAGTCCAAGGCCAGCGGAGAGCTGGGTGCTCCACGCGGTGCAACCTGAACTGCGACCAGTTGGGGTACCGTTATACCCTGGTTGTTTTCAAGCTACAGATGCGGACAGACTACGATATACCACGCTAATTCGAGGTCGGGTGGACTCCTTATTAAGAGACGAGGCGTATTACGCAGAGCGTCGAGCTCGCAACGACTCGTTCTTGAATGCCGGGGAGTGGAAACAAGTTAAAAAGGAGAAGGACTTGACGTTCTATCGACGACTGCAACGAGGTCGCTCACTTCGGGAATTGGCACTCGAGGAGGACCTTCCCGAGATCCAACGAGCGGTCGAACGCGGCTATACGAGTATGATCTGTGACGGGTTTATGAAGGGGACGATTGAGGGCATGCTGTATGGGATGACAGCGTCGTCTCAGGACGATTTAATGACAGGATTCTCGTTCAAAGACCCGCCCAAGGACTGCGTCTGGCTTGGCACAGTGGAAACATCCACTCGGGAGGACCCATTCCGCTCAGCAGATTTGATCTGGGCCCTACCCAAACTACCTCCAATGCTTGACCAGGTCGACGTCTGTTATCTCAAGGCAACAGGTGTGGAAATGGATGCAAACGGCGAGAAATATGGGTACATGGTGTTGCATGGCGTGCACATTGCCCAGTGCCCTCCATTTGCAGCGCACGGGATTTCCCGCGCGAAAATGTATTTTGCCTGTTTGTTTCGGGAACCACGCCCTGGACTTTTAAAAGTGACGGTGCGAGGCATCTTCGATCTCAGTAAAAAGGTGAGAATGCTCAAGGGACTCGTGTCTGCCGCTACAACATCCATAATGGTCGGTCTTTTCAATGGTGTCGGGATCGGTGAAGCCAAGAAACTCACCCTTCTGGCAAAACGCAATCGTAGCAGACTCCACGACCCTGTCAACACACCAAAACAGTCACTGTGTTATATGTGCTGCAAGCGCGCATCATTTTTCGGTCGTGCAAATGTTTTCGGGACGCATTTAGTCACGTGTTATGTGTGTGGAGGAACCGTGTGCTCCAACTGTTTGCTGAAGCGACGAGTGTTCCTTGGAGCGAACCATCCGTGTTCGAAAGTCGACTGTTGTCCAAACTGCGTCCGAGATGCAGAAACGACGATCCACGTGCGGCCTGCAGAGCCAGAATTTCTGGTCGTGGCGGAGTTTTACCTCAGCCAACGCTCAAGGATGTTGCCCGAGATCCACGCAGAACTTCTTCCACGTAACGATGGGATGAAGACAAATTCTTCAGCAGGGGTGCCAACAACGTCGACGACGGACGAGAGCGTGGGCGAGTACCAACTCGACTTTGACGATGATTCGTTCTCTATTGCGCTGACTTTACCTGAGCTACGTCGAAGTTCTATCGAAGACGTGGACAACAAAGAACCGGATTCAAGTCCTGAGGCCGAAGCTGGCTCGTTTTCGAGTGAGATTATGGTCTGGGGGCACCGGATTAGTGTGGACGATGACGATTTCATCCCTTCCACTGCAGCCGACAGGTTATACAGCGCTATACAGATGGAGCAAAGGCTTTTGGAGTTGAATATGCAAGCAGAGCAAATCTACGCGCAGACGCAGGAGACGACTATGAGCTTGCGAGGATGGCAAGATCGAAGATGATGAACAGGTGCAATAATAGTTTAAGGGTTTTCGCTAAAAATGTACATGATAAACGCAGTGCTACAGAGTTGCTGCATGGACAAATTTCAAGATACATTTCAAAAATATACCTACTCAAGCTAGGTAAAAATGACAGAGTAACCTTTCCGCCACAATGTTTCGCGCTTAAGCGGCAGCACCCGGAGCTCCTCCAGTCACAGGCTGGACGTTCATCATGAGCGAACTCCTCATGCCAATAGTGATCCCCATTGCATAGTGCACGTTTTGCCCTGGAACTTCCGTGAAGTGGAAACGACCGACGAGTGTTGCAATCACCAGCTTCATCTCCAGCATAGCGAGAGCTTTGCCGACACATACACGTGGGCCACCGCTGAAGGCATTGCATTTGGCGGTTGGAGTGCGCAACAATTTGCCAGTTTCGGGGTCGATAAAGCGCTCGGGTTTGAATTCCGCGGCGTCGGGACCCCACACTTCCGTGCTTCTAGCAGCTCCGAAATGACACATGCCGACATTCGTCCCTTTAGGCACAAAGGTGCCATCTGAGAAGACTGTGTCGTGTATGCATTCCCTCATCGTGAACGGCACAGGAGTCTGAAGACGTAAGAGTTCGCGAATTGTTGCTTCGAGATACACTAAACCTTGCACCTCGTCCATTGATGGAACATAGGTGGAGCTCGTTCTGATCTTTGGTAGCTTGTCAAATATCTCGGCACGCAGTTTGTTCTCGACTTGAGGGTGTTGAGTCAGTGTGTGGAATAACCAGGTCATGGCATCGGCAGAGGTGTCACGACCGGCGCCTAAAGCGGCAACTGCAATGTTGCGGACGTCGGTAGGCGATACCATGTCGCCATCCTGTTCCATGCACTCAAGAACAATCGACACAATATCTGTGTCAGTTTTTCTCACCGGTTTGCCAGCTTTCAGGTCTTCTTGGCGTTGGCGACGGGTCTCGATGGCCGTCGAAATGATTTTCATGATAAAGTTGTCAATAAGTTCGACATCTTCGCGAAGTTTGCGTTCCTGACCAACATTCATCCAGCGTTTGAGTTTCCAAAACCACACCGGCTGTTGCAGACGACCGGCAACAATGGACTGAGCCTCATCGAAGGCTTGTTCGAATGGATGCTCGTGCTCTGAGTCGATACTGTCCAGAGTGTTGTTAAACACCATCTCAGCGAACGCTTTGAAAGTGAAGCGGTGCATGAGCATGTAAAGGTCGACGGGTTTCTTGGCAATTGCAGCCTTGAGCAACACTTTTTGCAACAAGAGTGTGTGTCGTTGGATCACAGGTGTCATATGTTCACGCAGCGCCCGAGCACTGAAAAGCCGAACAAGCAGTCGACGATGGTACTTCCAGCGCTCGCCTTCGATAATAAGGACACTGTGTCCCATCAGGTCCACGAACATGTCGTACTGCTGATGACCCTTGCTAAAGTGATCGAACTGCGTCTTGACGACGTGCTCGTAGTGTTCCGGAACAGCCGTGACCAGCATGTCACTCTGACCAGGTAGATACAGCTTGAACACACCGTTGTGGGCGATGCATTGCTCCGCCATCCAGTCGTGAAAACGGTGGGCGTTGGTGGCGAGTTGCAGCATGTTGCCGATGACCGGCACTTTGGACGGCAAGTAGGGCACTATCTTGGGTTTGTCGACGCTCTCTTCCTCAGAAGTGTCAGCTTTGACTTCATTTTGACTCGATCGAGTCGCCACGTAAGCGACAACAGCAGCAGCTCCGGCGAGCAGGACGAGGCCAGCTGGACCGAGCGGGGACAGAGCGCGATGCTTGACTAACCAACGACGCAACATGATGACACGAATTGGAGCTTGTTCACGACAAGGAAAGTTGCGATGTGAGCAGTGAAGCGAAGCGAGGAATACAACTCGCGGATATGTCGAGGATTGCTGGCGTTGGTCGCTGCTTTTCTGCCTCTGACGACGCCAGATGAGACCGTGGCTTGCATCTTGCCGGCATTGCAAGAATTGTTGCATCCCACTATCGTCACGACTATTCCTGATGAGAGCTTAAGACGCGCTTACCCTCCTTTGTTAGATGCCTGTCTTAAGAAACTGCTCAGGCATGCAGCGCGTCTTACATGAGAGCGGTATAGTATAAATTGAGCACGTAATTTATTATCTCTATAGCGAAAAGATGTAAGGTATAAGCCCTTACATACTTGACCTATCATAGCTTAAGCTCAGCGCAAATTTAAGTCCTCATCTTTCTCCAGTATGCTAAGTGGAATGCTAGCTTCATGTAGCGCCAGGTTTGGGCGTCTGTGAGGAAAGCTATAGGCCGAGTCCATCGTCTATCGGTGACCACCGTGCTGTTGCTGTTACATATCAAAAATATCATTGCAGTAGTCGTACTGCAAATGTATAAGATATTGCAGGTGAATCAATTTGATTATCTCAGATCGAGCTGAACGAATGACAGATCTATGCTATATTAAGGAATTGTAACACCAGCTGTATCATGTTAACCATAATGGTAAGAAACACGATGGGCGTCATTTATTGAAATTTATCCAAAATGATTGGGAATCTCCGGCTGCTATCCTGCTTAAGCCAATCGTAGAGACAGAAACGCTGTACGTGGCAGGCTATTAATTGCAAAGAATTCTGCAACAAATAGTGGGTCTTTTCGACAGCCAGAATGAAGGGGAAGGGCTTCGAATTTGCAGAATCCGACGTCAGATTCGGACTGAGCACCCATTTTTACCCTATATATCTAAATGTCGATATAGGTTTTAGAGCGGCAAAACACCTTTATTATAGCGCAAAGTCCGTCCAAGGTTTGGTGGCCGGGACAATAGGCAGCATCGCAGATGCCCAGGAGTGGCATGCGAGTTGCGGTCAACACGCGAAGAAGCGTTCACGGGTACATGTATTGAGCAACGCGTTGAGGCTCCTGTCTTGCCATGGAGTAATTTGCGGAAGCCCCGCTGGAAAGCCAGGCAATGGATGGTTGCCGTCTCAAGGCACCAAGACTTTCCCTGCTCACGCAAGCCGTGGCCAATTTGTCGGTACATTCACAATCTGAAATTGTACGAAAGTTGAAGTGCTTTAGAATGGACACATTTTATCACTGGTAGGGGGTATTGTGTAAGCGAATTCAACATTTGGGATGATGAACAGCTAGCTGACACATAGCTGACACAAAAGCGCTATCCATGCTGTCTTCACGTCAAGCCCGTGATCTATTGTCCGCTCGCGATTGGTGACTGCCACATTGCATGTTAATGCCGCCGCGAAAGAAAATGACGCGAGCTACGATGAGCATGATGTCTCCCATTTCGGTGTACCAAAATTAAAATGTTAGATGAGGTCATTGATATTAAATTAATAAATACTCCAGAGTAATACATTTACAATTTATCAGGGTGTCTTGTCCTAATTGCAGCAACCAAAATGGAGCTTGCACGCCCATCACGTCGCTGTAAACCAAGTGTCACTCGACTTTCATCCCCTCCAAAGTGTCATACTTCAAGAGGACGTCTGCTGTCATTGTTGCATCCTTCCTCGAACGCGATAGTGGCACACGCGGGAAAGGCCTGGGCAGTCATGTACGCCATGAACCTCAAATTCTGCTCCTCCCTCGACCTAGCGCCATCAAAAGCTTCGAAGCCGATGAAGCCTTTGCCACTGCTCATTCGCCTACGTGCCTCCTGCAGTCAACTGCGATGTTATCTCTTTCGAACATACTCTCGCATCCGGTCGTGGTTGGGCTGATCGTCGCAGCTGCAGGCGCCACACTCCTGTCCGTTTCCAATAGCTACGCAATCGACTCGGACGATGAAGAAGAGAAAGTCAAACCGGTCCCGTATCTGCCCGGTGGACACCCGATTCTGGGACATACGCTGCTCATGGCTCGCAACCTCGATCGGTTCCAGGACTGGCTGGTCGAGGCCAGTGTCGCTCGCAACGGAGCGCCGTTCGTACTGCGCCAACCGGGCAAGAACGACTGGTTGTTCTCGGCTCGACCCGAGGATTTTGAGCAAATTCTCAAAGTGCACTTTGATACATTTATCAAAGGGCCTCAAGTGCGAGAGCTGCTCGATGACTTTATGGGGGAGAACATTGTCATTATCAATGGACATCGCTGGAAATTCCAACGCAAAGCACTCGTCAACTTGTTCACGGCCAGAGCGTTGCGTGACCACATGACTCCGATCGTGCGAAAGTGCGCGTCGGCGTTGCAACGCGTGTTTGCCAAGGCTGCAAAGGAAGACGGCGTCCTTGATGTACATCATATCATGGGGCGATTCACCCTGGAAACCTTTGCAGAGATTGAGTTTGGCGCTCAGTTGGGACTGCTGGAATCCGGAGAAGACCACGCGTTCGAGACGGCGATCGACGATGCCAACCACATTTCGCTTGAGAGATTTGCTGTACCCATGTGGGTCTGGAAACTCAAACGTTGGCTCAACGTTGGCTCGGAACGTCGTCTACGCGAAGATATGGACGTGATATCAACTTTTGTCATGAGTTGCATCTCCGGAGCGATTGAGCGTCGTAAAAAGCGACTGGAAGCTGCAGCGCGTGGGGAGCCCTTGGGGCCTGTTGCGAAAGACATTGTGTCCATTTTGCTGGACAGTGAAGACACGATAGGTGAGCCAGTGTTGCCTCAAGATGTTTTTAACATCTCCCTTGCCGGAGTTTTGGCTGGGAAAGACACAACGGGGGATGCAACAAGTTGGCTGATGCATTTGTTGCATGAGAATCCGCGAGTTGAGAACAAATTGAGGACAGAACTGTTGGCACAGATCCCCAAGTTGGCGATAGATGAGAGCTACGTGCCGTCGATGGAAGAACTGGACGCTGTGACCTACTTGGAGGCCGTGATTCGTGAGAGTCTGCGTCTTAAACCGCCGGCACCGTGTGTCACGCAACACTGCACGCAAGACACGGTCTTCCCTGATGGCACTTTTGTCGCTAAGGGCACAGACACGACGCTATTGTATCATGCTTCGGCATTGCTGCCGAGTGTGTGGGGTCCAGACGCTGTTGAATTCAACCCGGAGCGATTCTTGGATGAGAACGAGAAGCTCATCGTGTTACCACCGCTCAAGTTCATCGCTTTTAGTGCCGGACCGCGCAAATGCGTGGGACGGAAGCTCGCAATGATCGAGATGAAGGTCGTGACGGCGTGTCTAGTGAGCCGCTTCCACTTGGTGCAGGTGCCAGGGCAGGACATTCGAGGCACCATGGGCATCAGTCTCGGCATGAAGTACGGAATGAAGGTCACTGTCGAGCCTACACCTGGTGTTGCTGCTGCTTGAAACGAAGAGTGAAAAATCTGTCAGTGTGTATGTTATACATTCATTCCTAATCGTCAACTTCGACAAACACTCGCATGGCAATTCAAATATTCATACTTCGGAGTAATTTTACATGTAATACAATGTACCCGTTAATCCGCACCATGTCAATCGAGCTCAGCACCTCGAAGCCCCCTCGCTGTTACTTGTGTCTGGATGTACGTATTCTCAGCCTTGACGTTGAGCTGGAACAATGTCTGCATCACCTCAAACTCGGAGCGTGGCGGGACTTTTCTACTAGCAGGAATGAAGTCGTCTGTGTCAAGGCGATGTGCTCCGTGCCAAAGCGTCAACGTGCTTTTATCCGAGTCAGTTGACATGACAGGACTTGGATCCGGTTGTGCCACAACGGAGCTGTTGGATTCTTCGTCACTGAAGCAGAAATCTGCCTCATCCAGCTCTCTCGAGAACGGATCCGTGTCCAAGCTTTCGTCAACCGTGGAGTTGGTAGGCATGTCTGCTGACAAGTTCGTCTTCAAGATTGATCGACGTCTACTGCTTCGATTGCGAGTCATCGTGTCGAGTGGATAAATCTCGGGCAATGGAGAGCGGAAACCTGTTGAAACGGGACTTCGCGGCGACAAAATTGATCGTGTACGTTGACGAAGGTAAAAGTCGGCGATAACTTGAAATTCCGGATCGCCCGGAAGAACGCCACGCGTAACTTGAGCATCTCGCATACAGGTTAAGCAGCATGGTCGTTTCGAGCGTGGGGCATCCAGACCCAAAAAGAGAATCTGTTTGGTGTTCGCTATGCAGTTGGAGCAAGCTGTGGCTCCACACACGCCACACTGGAATAAATGCGTGTTCAAGCCAAAGAGCAATTTCCTTTTCGTCTTGAAGCAGATGGAGCACTCGGACTGCTTGGGAATCCGAAGAGAATCCTTGTTGTGACGTGCCATGATTGTGAGCTTCTTGGCTAATCCGATTCCGACGCCGTTGAGAAGACCGATCATGAAAGACTTGGTTGCAGCCGCCACTAATTTCTTGGCGATCTTGCCGGGTCTTTTCCCCAAGTTAAAGATCCCACGCACTTTCACATTCAAATATCCAGGAGTATTCTCTCGAAAGAGACAAGTGAAGTACATCTTCGCTCTCGTGACGCCACGAGCTTCAAATGGACGGCATTGGGGTAAATCCGCAGAATGCAGAACCAGATATCCAAAGCGTTTCCCGTCTTGGTCTTTCTTGACACCTGTAGCTTTAAGGTAGCAGATATCAACAGAATAGGCAGTTAACTTTGGAAATGCCCAAATGAAGTCAGCCGAACGAAAAGGGTCTTCGGACGTTGGTCCTTCAGCAGTACCCAGCCACACACAGTCCTTTGGAGCGTTCTTGAACGAGAAACCAGTCATCAAGTCTTCTTGAGACGCAGCTGTCATCCCGTACATCATGTTTTCCATCGATCCCCGTACTTGTCCGTCGCAAAGTATAGTCGAATATCCATTCTCCACTGCTTGTCTGATGTCCGGATGAGTTTCCTCTCTAGCCAATTGCTCCAGCGTTCGACCTGCACGGATTCGTTTGAAGAACCGGAGTTCTTTACTCGTTTGTACCTGTTTCCATTGCTTTGGATCGAATGGTGGCAGGCGTTGATCTCGACGCTCACTGTAGTGCTGCTCGTCAATGAGCAGAGTGTCTACACGCTCTCGAACAATGTCGGCGAACTCTTGAAGCTTAGCACCCGTCGGATAGAAACACCCAGGCGATATAGGAAAGTGGAGAATGGGAGACGTACTTTCATCCATGTCTAGTTGGAGTTCTTCGGTGAGCACGTTGGCCGGAGGCCCTGGACTCATGTCGTGTTCGACGTCGAGTTCGCAAGTGGGCGGGTTTACCACCAGGTTGGCTCCGTTGTTCGATAGCTTCACCGACTCAATTGCTCTGGGAAGAGAATGGAAGGACAAGCGCTCGTCAAGATGACGCGAGTAACTGTGGTACACTTGAAAGCAGACATCCTCAAAACGTCAGCCAAGTTGACAACTGCGGCCAATCCTCTGTACCGTATATGATGGGCTCTATGCGAGAGGTTGTTCGGATTAACTGCGATCTTCAGAGCAACGAGTCGAACGTAGCCCCGATCTTTTCGGCAGCTGCAAGGTTCAAGTTTCAGAGCCCATTCATAAAAATAATCACTTCAACTTGTTGATGACTGCCATTTTCACACGTCGCATATGCTCTTATGGCATCCAGCCGTCAAATCTCAAACCTGCTCTTCAACCGTTCAATAATTGACTGGTGACGTTCAACTGTTTCAATCATGGCGTGGGGTAAGAAGGCTGGCGTGGACGACCTGCTGCAGAAGCTCACGAACCCCAAGACAGCGAGGAGCCTCTATGTCATGAGCACGCGCTCCATCGGCGACTCAGATTTCGTCAAATTGGCCTCGTCCATCAGCAGCAACACTTTACTCGAAGAGCTTTACTTGTCCGGTCACCAACTGGGGCCGCTTGGACTACAGGCCTTTGCCGACTGTTTGGCAACGAACTCGACGCTCAAGCACTTGAGTTTGGGCTCAGAGAAGCTTGGAGACGAAGCAGTGCAAGTTCTCTGCGCCGGTTTGGCTCGCAACACCCAGTCGGGACTCCAGAACTGGGACTTGGAGTTTAAGTCTCTTGGTGCGAATGGAGCGGCAGCTGTCGCAGAGCTGCTGAAGACCAACAAGTCGTTGACGACTGTATCGCTGTCCCGTAATCAGATCGGGGACGAAGGAGTCGAGAAACTGGCTAAGGGGTTGAGTGAGAACGCACAGTCAGGAGTCAAGGAGTTAAATGTGACCGAGGTGGGAATTTCAGGGTCTGGACTCGGCCACTTGGCTACGCTCGTAGAGAAGGAAACCTGCTCGTTGTCAACGATTCAGCTGTCGTTTAACACGCTGGAGAGTGCAACGTCGACCTTCTTTGATGCGTTGGCAAAGAATAAGTCCGTGACAAAGTTGCAGCTCAAGGAGTGCAAGTTAAGCGACCAACATGTCGCTGCACTTAGTGCTGCGCTTAAGCAGAACACGACGTTGGTGGAGATCGATCTGTCGGACAACGAGTTGACGCAGACTTCGTGTGCTTCGTTGGCTGAAGGACTCTGTGAGAACAAGACGCTCAAGATCTTGCGTATCAACAACAACAAGTGCCTGGACGAAGGTGCTGCGCTTCTTGCAGATGTACTGGTGACAAACAATACGACGCTGACCTACCTGGATATGGGCAACAACGGACTTACCAGTGTCGGCATGACACCACTGCTGAAGGCTCAATCGCTGACACAACTTCATCTGTTCAACAACAAACTGGGCGAGGGATTGAGTGAGTTATTACCTGCACTACTGGCCAATGCAGTCATCGAAACGTTTGGCATCGGTGCCAACCAGTTGCACGAGGCACTAAGTGTCACGATGTTGGACGCGCTGCACTCGCATCCGTCTTTGAAGACGCTCGAGATGGGAGGAAACACGCTGGGCATAGCAGGACACGACGCTCTCGACAAGCTGAAGGAGGCCAACCGCGGACTAGATGTTGCTGTGGACAAGAACGCGCAAAACGAGGACAGTAGCTTTGATTTCCAGAACCAGCAGTAGAAGACTCTGGCGCTAGAGTGCTCTGCTTCTGGGCTGTATTGTTAAATAGAGGGACGCAACAACGGTCGCTGTCCTGGACAACGGCAAATTCTTCCAGCGGCACTTTCGTCGTAATTCTTACTCTTCGATTTGCTTCGTGTCGTTCACACGCACGTTCGCAAACGCTTGTTCGATGGAGTCCACCGACAGCGCCTGTCGAAATTGCACGAGGTCTTCGTGCATGTCTTGCTGCCATTTCTGCACTTCAACGTGCAGTGCTTGCAGCTGCGTCAAAGCATTCGCTTCGTCTTCTTCAGTCAGTTTGCGGACGTATTCGCTCCAAACAGCGTAGTCCTTCTCCAGCTGAAGCACTTTCTTGTGAGACTCGGCGATACTCGACTCGAACCTCCCAATACGCTCTCTCAGATCCAAATGATACTCGTGGGACTCGCTCACTTTCTTTGCGGCGTACAGGATGCCAGAAATGCAGAAAATCGCCGAAAGCAGCATGATAAGCGAGATACCGAAGGAGTACATCCAGCTCAATTTAACTGTCGGCGGATTTCTTTCAGGTGTAGCCTTTGGTGGCGTCTTGACAGGCGCCGCGCTGATACCATGCTTGTCTTCGGTCGTTGCTGGCACCATATATTCCTCAGGCTGCGGTGCAGTTTCTTCGTCCATCCGTTCCAGAGCTCGCTTTGGAGCTTCTTTCTCAACTGGATCATCAGTCTTGGTCACACATTCAGCAGGTGTAGCCTTCGGAGCATCACCGACGTCTTCAGTCCCTACGTTCCGCTCATTCGCGGGAGCGGGCATCGCGCCCATCCGTGTCGGCGCTGGGTAGGACGGTTGAGACTGCACATAACGCTCCTGCTTCGGTGCCATACAATGCTCATGGGGCGATTGCGGTCTGCCGTAGTAATCACGAACCTCCTCAGCAGCAAACAGCTTTTCTGCGGCATCAAAACGGCCGGCGTGATCATCATGAGCAATGTACGATTCTTGGCGCTGAACAATCGCTTGAATTCTAGTGTTTGCGTTTGATTCCGAGCGTGGGCTACAGCTTTCTGCAGTTTGGGGCTCCTTTGCGAAGTCGAAAGGTTCCGCGTTCGGTTCATCCTTCTTCACGGTCGTCGGACGAGGTGGGAGAGCCAAAAACACGTCATCGTCAATCTGTTCATGCTCGTCATCAGAGGATGCTCGACCCAAAGCCGACTCAAATGTCTGCAGTTGCACGTTCTGTTCAATACGCTCACGTGTTTCATCGTGCGGGGCATCAGGCGGTACTATTTGCGGGCTTCGCGCAAACTGATCTGCTCGCGTTAAACGCTCAAAGTATGACAGCTCCTCCTTGCTACGCTTTTCCGTTGCTGGCGAGCTGTCCTGCGATTTTTTGGCAGTTGCGTGTTGTGCTGTGAATGGCAAGTTATGAACAGTTTCTTCGCTTCGCGTCTTTTCTCGAAGACGGCCCATTTCCTCGCGAACATTGAGCAGGCCAGCTAGCGCGTCACTGGGAATGATTTCCGTAATCAACTCTTCATGTTCCGCATCTTCTTCCTCTCTACAATCGCTTTGCACCGTGAAGTACTGCGGTCGTGACGATTCAACATTCTGAAGCGATGTCCATTGCGATCTTTCCGACATGTCCATTACCGGACTGTGTTCAACTTCCACTCCACCAAAATCTTCAGCTTGATCCTGCTCTTCATCGCTCAAATGATCGCCAATTTCATCTTTAAAGCCAAACTTGTGTCTGGCACCGTCATCAAGATGCCATTCATCCGGGAATGCATCACTCTTCGCAACAAAACTCGCCTTAAGATGGCTCCCCTCTTCCTCAGAGCCAGAACGGTCGCTGTAATCCAGACGGCGATGCTTCCACTCAGTGTCGGACTCGACGTGATCACTTCCTTCTGTCAGATGACCAATGACATCGGCTTCATCGGTGTAGAGCTCTTCATCTAGAGATGACGCTACTCCGTAGCCCACTGGACTTGTGTTCACGACTGATTCCAGTTTGTCCTCTTCTTGTGGTTGAATATATTCTTCTGACGCTGCCAAATCAAGGGACGACATCTCCGGAGTGTACGTTTGCAGTGGCGCGTACAGCTCTTCATCTTGGTGGACAAACATTCGTCGTCTAGATCGGAGAGTAACGTTGTCTGTGGACGGCGGTGGAGGTATCAGAGATGCAATAGAACTGGGAATTGGTTTGCTGAAATACTCGTCACTTGCGCTCAATGGTATCGTGTCAGCCTTTTCCTCTTCAAACTTCGCACTGCCCACAGGGGTGGAGGGCCCGCTACTTCCACGCGCTTGGAGCGTAAAGCTACCTGGACGAGCGAGCAAAGACGGGCGTAGCTTTGGAGAGCTAGTAGCACTGGAAGATGACCCGAGGCTATTCTTTCTGAGAAAACTCGGGCTGCGAGACAACGGACTCGGGATCTTTGTTTCCTGCAGCTTTTGAGCACCAGGGTGACGCAGTGATGCTCTTTCGACACTTGATGTGCTTGACGATCGCGTTCGACTTTGAATAGCAGGCGTAGGACTCAAGATGTTCTCAATCTCAGATGCAGGTGGCAGCACGGTCTCCGCCTCCGCCAGCGTTGAGTAAAACTTGTGCATTTGCGAGCCATCAAATGCCTGTAGTGTATCCTCCTGTTGATCATCGTCACGTCCTTCTGAAACATCGAGCTTGTCGAATAGTCGCCGCGACACAGCACTCTGGTCACGTGAAGTACTCTCCGGCGATTTAGCCGATCTTCTGGTATTAGTACTCGTCGCCACTCCACTATTCGTTGCTCCGTCTTGCAGCTCGCGTTCCTTTGGCGGGGGAGTCTTTGATACACGAATTTCGACATCTTGTTCGCGCTTGTGTCGAGGAGACTTGCGGGAACTGGCACGCGACTGCGTAAAAGATGATCTGCTGCGCAATAACGAGTCGGACTTGTCCAATTCTGGGTATTCCTTCAAGATCGCTTCAGCTAGTGGCGAGTCACGATGCTCACTGACAATCAGTGCTTTAGCTTGGCTGGACGGTATGTCCACAAGGTCCTCCACACGCTCACTCCTGAATAAACCCATCATGCATAGTCAGTCAAATAGCTCTCCAACAGTAAAGACACTAACTACAGCCTTACCATCGCGACGAGAATCTCGCAAGAACCTCACGCGCCGTCTTGCGGACTTTTTCGTTTTGATCTTCCAGTCCTCGTTGAATTATGGCCAGCACGTCCGACTCGAATGGCAACACTTCGCTATCAGTCCAGTAGACAAACATGATCCCCCAATTGCTCCAGCACGAGCACACTAGCCTTAGCTGTACAGTCAAAACGTCATAAATCCGTCAGATAAGAATTCTATGTAGCATCGCAGTGCAGTATCTTCCTCACCATGCATCAAAGGCATGTATATCTTCTTCAAGAGCGATAGGTCGTACCGCACGACCTCCGACATCTTGCACAGCAGCTTGGATCCTGGTTGTCGGATGGCTGCCGATGAGTTCTTCGCGGTGCAAACGATCTGGGGCAGTAAAGCATTGGCCATGTCCTGGAAGTCTCGACCTATTTCCTGGACGATTCTCAGCAGACCTTCACATGTGTCCTTTACCAGCTTCGACCGGTGTGAGACTAATAGCGCGCTGATTTTGCCCTATAAAACATTAATAAAGGAGTCATTGCAAGAACTTAGTCGAAGAGGATCAAAGATAACGGTAATCAAGCCGTTGAGGCCGCACCGAGAGACTCAGAAGCAGTCTGGCAGCATCTTTGCGACTTGTAGAGGGACCCAGCGCCTCCACAGCCGTCGCAAGCTCATCAATTGCCGAAGAATGGTATTTCCAGTCCGTCTCCGGAAAGCTCAGCTGCTTCTGGGTCTCTTGAACCTGACGCAAAAAATGGTTGTATTTAGGGATATTGGAGGCATTATACTAGGACCATGAGCTCGGCAAATAGAGCAGACGTGTATGAACCTGTCGAGCAAGTCTCTCCATGCTTATAGACGCTCTGGAAGGCGCAAGTCGCCGTTGCCTGTCCTAGCGCGCCTTTGGCTCTTGACGAGTGCGGGCTCAGATGTCGTTCGAACTAATGCAACATTCACGCGACAATAAGTGTAAACTCTGGAAGTGCATATTTGAACCTGCTTTAATGAATGTAAAGCAACACTTCAACATCAAGGTAATATCAAAAATTTAGTAGTACTATTGTGTTTATTCATAAATGTCGTGTGA